AGAAATCAATGTGAGTTCTTTACTTTTCTATCGAATCGACTCCAGAAGAAACTCAAAACATCAATTCGATTAACAGAAACATGAAGATGAAAACGAAAACACACGAACAACTGATTAAAAATCAAGACATGAGAAAAAGGTATGATTCCAGTCAAAATCGAATTCAACTCCTATTAACACAAATTGAAAATGATTTCGTCTTGAAATCGATTTTTAAGTTTCGATTATGGGATATGATATTAAGTTTGAGACTAGTTCAATCCTCAAACGGCTCAAAATCTATTTGATTTCTACTCATGAGCTTTGAGTCAAAAGAAGTAACGAACGATATCTAAGAAAAGGTTGATACTTAAGATAATAACGAGGTTAATGGAATTTTGGGCTCGAATGTTGGACTGATGAACAATAGAAGATCAAGCTTTTTGTTTGGGCTCAAAGTGATTCGATGTGATCAGTGTATGAATCAAATCTTTTTGGATTGGACTTGAACATGAACAGTAATCTTATTTTAGAAAAAGATTTTGAATTTGAAGTTTGATCTAAAAAAAATTAATTGGATCACCAAAGAGGTTTGAAACGAATTCGATCCAATTGAATCAAAACGATCAAAAAATCAAAAACGCAACGCACGGATCAACGAGATTTAGAGAGATCATAGAGAGACTCACCATAAATGCTTCAATTGTGATGAATTTAGCCAAACCGAGAACCGTTTTTTCAAAAAATCATGTTAATCTTCGAAGACCCGCTCTAATACCAATTGATGTGAATTATGAGCATTGGTTTGGCATGCGGAATTAAAGAACACACAAAGAACACGATGATTTCGGTGTTTAAGATATGCATTCGATTAAGAAAGGTGTTTACAAAAAAGGATCTAGATCTAAATCTACATAATTAACACATACTAACACTCTCAATGTTACATCTCTTAAACACACCTCTACAAGTGGTATGAACCCACCTTATATAGAGGTGTTTAAATTTTTCTCTTTCTCTCTCTCTCTCTCTCTCTCTCATGTCACAAGGCTACTTTATCACATGCAAGTGAGTCTACAAAAGTCAAACCATTTACAAAGTCATATATGGATAACTTTGTACCCTACATTTTCTTTTTAATTTCTTCTATTTTTATTTTCAGTGTAATTTATTTAAAATTTTGGTAATTTCTTATATTGAAACTAATATGAACTTTTTTTCAAAAACTAACACGTATAAAGATTTATCTAGGACATAAAGTCGTATCTTAAGATATATTTTGTAATTAGTGGTTTACCCTTCAACATGGTCATTATAAAGAAACGGTAAACTCCAATATATATTGAGATATACGGGACACATTAAGACTCTTCCTCAAAGAATGATGCTCGAAGAGGATAAACCAATTAGGATTTGATATCATTGGACTAAGACTAGGACATAAGTTAATAGTAAAAAACTATAATTTGGTATTCCATCCAAAAAAGATAGAACAATATAAGACATGTACTTGCTCTTGATCCATGGTGTGTGCAAAAGATGTGATTACCTTCCTAAGAATATGCCATGATGACCCAATGCTAAGACTAAGACTAACCGATGTTAATGAGATATAATTTGCAATTTTTTCTATCAAAAAAAAAAAAAAAAACAATGCGACATAGACACTCATTCAATGAGACATGTACTTGTTCTTGATCCATGGGTGTGTGCAAAAGATGCGAGTCCCTTCCTAAGAATATGACATGATGACCCAAGAGTAAGACTAACTGATGTTAATGAGAAACAAATTGCAATTTTTTCTATACAAAATTGAACAATGTGGCATAGACACTCGTTCTTGATCTTATATCTGTACATAATACATTAAATGTCCTTTTAACTAAAACTTACGGGCCCTTGTATTGCGTTAAATTTAAGCCCTCTATAAAACCAAATCATGAACAGTTGCGAGTATATATAGGCCCAAGGTGGGTCACTTGACCCACTTAAGTTCTTTTCTTTTATAACAAACAATATATAAAAAATATATGTGACCTATCTTACATTTTATGAGTGAACCACTTTGGCAAAAATATTGAGATTAAGCAAGACTTTTTTTGCCCAATTTTTTATATCTAGTAACACAAGTATTTAGTTCATTTAGAATGTTACCTATAAAGAAATAACTCAATACAACTTAAAATTAGATAACAAAAAAAAGTAAAATCATGAATATTGATTCATCATTCAAGCGTCGGCCCTCAACGTTATGCACGAACGAAGACGTAAGTAGCGAAAAAAAAACTTTAACTGTTCATGGTCGCCATTGCTGTTCACTACCGACCCGATCCGCTAATAATAATTTTTTTACTCTTTCATATTATCGTTTTAATTTAAATAGTGAACCATGTGAGTTTCTGTTCTAGACTCGTCACTCATCATGAAGACCTTGTATTGCATTGGTTTGAGAATGATTGATGTCAAATGCAACAAAAGTTGCAATCTACAATCCCACCTAAAAAAAATGCAACAAAAGTTGCAATCTACAATCCCACCTAAAAAAAAGTGGAAGACAATAGGATATGAACTCACTTTCAATCTCTCATTTATACAATTCAATCTCTCATTTATACAAAAGCCGTGAATGTCATCCTAAATAATATAGTTAACCAATTTATATTACATTTGACATGCATTGAATCAAAACTTGACCGATATAAAAGGAACAAAAGACATGAATGTGATTTCAATCTTAATAAAAAAAAAAAAAACTTTGAAAACTTATTTTCGCCTAATCGAGCCTCGTATAACAAACACAACCTTATTATCGTAAAAGCCAGTGGACAACACTTCCAATGGAAGATCCTTTTTCCTATTTTTGGTTACATTGACAACCAATGTAGATATGCAATCGACTGTTCTATGTACACTTGTATGCATTTTGAATTGTGTATTTGTGTTTTTATACACCGAAAAAGCTGTCCCCATAGAAGGGTATACTTGTCTTTTCACGATACTTGAAGTCCATTCTGATTAATGTTCTCATGATAGTTACTTCTGAATTCTGATGGATATACTTTTTCACGTTTCAGAAGCCTCATCGGCGACTTCACCTCCGTTTTCCGGCCGAGATTCGTCAAGATAATGCTGATAAACATACGAAGCAAATCCCCAAATCGCCAACACAGTAGCAATCACCTTCATCCCATTCATCTTCTCCCTAAATATAACAACCGCTAAGATCGGAATAATCGGCAAAGCCAACGTACTGATTACATTCGAGAAAAGCGACGACACCTCAAAGATCAACCCAACTCCACCGATCGTCGCAATCTGCCACGCCACCGCTATACAAACCATGATAACCAGGTACGCCATCTTCCCCAATTCAAAATTCACCATCTCGCCCTGCAAATCGTTCCATTCACCACTGATGAAAAGTGCCAAAAGCGTCACAATCGACGCCACTAACGACTGGTACATAATCATATTCAATACCATGGTGAAAGTTTCTCCTTTTAACACTTTCTGAAACGATAATTGCGTTAATGAAAGACCTAATGAATATAAAGCAGATGCAGCGACTGTGCACACGAATCCCAAAGTTAAATACCGTTTCCGGGAAATCCCGACTTGGGTTTCTTCCGAATCGCTTTGGAGAACTAGTAAAACAGTGGAGATTGTTAAAAGAACTAACGAATTCACGATTAATGGAGTTAATTTCTGCGCGTTTAGGAAGAATGCGAAGAACGCATTGAAAGCGAGCTGGGTTGTGCTGATGAGTGAAAATGTCGATAATGGAAGGTAGAATAATCCTACTGAGTATAATATACTTGTTAGCGATTGTAATGCTCCGAGAGAGATGTAAATTGCAGAAAGGATTAAAATGGAAGGTGGGTTTCTTCGATTAGTTTGTGTGGATTGATGATATGTTAATGGTTTGAAGTGGAGATAGAAGGGGATTAGAACAGGGAAGCCGACGGTTTCCACTAGTGACGTCAGCCAAACGCTTTTGCCGCCTTTGTTGTAGTATAGGCGGCCGAGTAAGGTGGCGGCGGTTTGGCCAAAGAGGACGCAGAGGATGTGTGTCGCCATTCTCAGCCACCAGTTTTTGTTTATGGTTCTTGGAATGGCGGAGGATTGTGGTGGTGGGTGGTGGTCAACGGGTGGTGCTGACATGAAATTGATGGGGTGGGGAATTGGAAATTGATTTGTAGGGAGGTTGTAGGGTGGTTTTGGGAGAAAGAAAAGTAACTATACCGTTGAAGATGATCACCATTTACCACCATGTTTCGTACATGACATAACTAGTTGTGAAGGTGGGTGTGTTGTGGTTATACATGTCTTCGAGAGGTCTTAAGTTTATATTCAAATTCATGTTTTTTTGATGTTTGTGTAATGTATGTATTTGACACGATTGATCCATGTGAAACTATACAAAGGTAAGAATAATAAAAACATTAAATAAAATAAGAATGTTACTAATAATCTTTAAAAGGTTAATATTAAAAAAATCAAAAAGAAATCTAAAAAGAAATGACCAAAGGTAATATAGTCTTTTTTTCATGTTTGTGAGGGACGAAAAACGCAACTGAATAAAACAATAAGGATGGTCCGAATGCAAAACAAAAGTTAGAGACTAAACACGCAAATTTAACCAAACCATAGAGACGATTTCATTAATTTGTTCTATTATTTTTATGTTGTTAAAATTTGATATATACAATTTCATGACATTTATTCAACTTGCTAATATAAATTTCATAGCAAAATAATAAGAGAAAAGTAAATGTTAATACATTCTCATTTTATTTAATGTTTTTATATTAACCATCCTTATTACATGGGTATTAATGTCTTTTGTATATATATAAGAGATCAGAGTGAGTTTGTGTCTTACATTCATCTATTTTTTCGATGAGACTATTGATTATAAAATTTTATTTTATTGACATTAGAGTAGTTTCAGTTTGATTCATTTGAAATATAGTATAACACCTCAAGTTCTTTCTGGTATGTGTAGCAAACAATGTGATGTTGATGGGATTGTAATGGAAAAAGAAATACATAGGTTTATGGAAATGCAGATAGAAAGCTAGAAATTGGAATGTTGTTAAACAATACGTTGATATCCTTATATACAGCTAGAGTTACGTGGGGTATATGTCGTTAGTAATAAAGTAAGATATGAAGATGACATATTTATGAAATTATAACTTTCGATTGTTGCATTATTAAGTTTATAGGGTTTTAGTCTAATGCCAAATTTACCATATATATTTGGGTCGTGAAACAATTTCTCCCTTAAGTTTTGACTTCTTTTTTTGTTGAATAAAAAATGTTTAGGAAATATTTAATTTCTCAAATAACATATACTTAAAATTGAGGTTAAATTTTTAAGAGGTTAGGATTTGGCGAACACGATCTTATTAATTTTTTTTTTTGTTAATTTTTTTTTTTGGTATTTGTTATTTTTATTAAAATAAACAAAGTTTTACTTAAAAGTTAATAATCTTAGTTATCATCGTACAACGAATGAAAAAGCAAACGGGCAACAAATTGCGCCGCTAAGTATTTTCTTTTGTAGGGTAAAGTCAATTATTTTAAAGACTACATCTATATATCTAGGGGATATAACATTATTATGCATGATCTGTTGTACTCTACGAAAAAGCTCCACCACATCCGGCGCAAGGAAACCAAACGTATCAAATGCAAATGGTATGAACACATGTTGATTTTCTATGCACGTTTCTCATGTTTGGTGACCTTGCATGTAGCAGCTTTTAATGCAGTTTGTCCCGTCGTAAAACCCCCGAACCTCAAGTCTACAAGAGGGGATACCCCTGTAAGGTCCACACATGCATGTTTCCCTCCAACCCATCCAAAAATCAAAACGTCAGCCGGTCTAAGGGTTGACCTTCCTTCTGTCGGGTCAGTTAGGAAATTCAGGAAATTCACAGGAGCGAAGAAAATAGTAACGTAAATGAAGAAATAATTAATGAGAAAGAAAATAGAAGGTATTTTTGTCAAAAGGTTTTCTGTTATTTTGTGTAAAGCCTTTTGGGTGGGATTAAAATTAGAGTATTTTGTCTCATTTAACTTGGTCAATAACCACTTTTGTTAGTCAATAACCAAACACCCTTTGAAACATCTTGTTTCATCCTTACCAAACGCCCTTTGAAACATCTTGTTAGTCATGTCTAATCGTATTCTACCCACCAAACGCTACATAAGGGATATCAAATGACTTTAAATCTAGCGGTATTAAATGTTGTCCTCCCTTCTTAAGATCAAGGGTTCAAGTCTCGTCTGAGATATATGGTCAATTAATAGTATATTATAGTTGTCGTTTTAACAAACCAACTTCAAACCAACCTTTATCATTCTCAAAGAGTATCGATATAGGGTTCATTAAGACCGATAATATTCCTCTTTTTTTTTATTAAACTACAAGTGTCTTTTTTAACGAGAACCAATGTTGGAAAAGTTGTTAGACGGTATTTGGTCAGTCGACCATAGTGGGTAGTCATGAAGTACTCAAATTGGATAAAGTACAAAGAAACTCATTTTAAATATATATATATATATATATATATATATATATATATATATATATATATATATATATATATATATAGATATATATATATCACAAGATCATTTATAACAAAATATATGAATTTCAATAACAATGATACATGTTAAAATGTTAAAGTCTTAAGTTATTTCAAAGATTGATGTTCATTCTTTAATATTATCAATTCATCCTTAGCCTTATTTTTTTTGTTATTTTCCATAAAATTTGCATTAATTTGAACAAAATTAAAACAAACAACTATAGATTTAATAAATAATTAAATAAATTGATAAAGGTTAAAGTAATTACTTAGCAATTATAGGTTTTTTAAGTCAAAATTACTGAATTTTACCGATTTAACCGAGGTAGACCGATTTGCTCTAAGTTTTGTACAAAATATCATCGAGTCTGGCCGAGTCTAATTACTTTTTGATGATTTCCATCTAATCGCCTAGATACATACTTGATTTCGAGTACTTGGTCAAGTTTCACAACACGTATGTGAAGAATGTGCGATCAAGATGCAACAATAAAAAAATCCTCCACACTAACAAATGCTACTTTATCGGTTTTCCCTAAAAATATCATTAATTTACATGCTAGTGTAACATCTTGATTTCCTAGGTATTTCATTTTGACCCTTGGTTTGTGAATTGTGTGCAAAGTTGGTCCCTAATGGGATTTTCGTAATATTTGGCCATGCACACATACGTTGGGCATACGTTGAGTATGCAGGGCGTACGTGGCCAGAGTGCAAACCCTAAGTTTTAGGGTTTGGACCCTATTTAAACATCTTTATGGCCTCATACTCTCTTTTCACTCCAGCCTCCTTCCCCCTTTGCCCTTATTTCGAAACCCTATAGTGTGTGAGTGTAATTTTGAAGCTTGGAGAGTCTTTTGGTGCCATTTTGGAGCTTTTGGTGGTGAAGGAATAACCTTGAAGTTGTGGTGCTTCACTCAAGACTTTGGATCCAGCAACTACTCTCCCTTGTGCATCTTCTGGAGGTATAAAGTTCCAACCTTGATGAATGTTTCATTAAGGTTTTGTTCTAGCTTAAAGTTGGCACCTTTTGTCCTAAATCTCGATCCTTGTGAGTGTGGAATACTCCAAGACATTTGAGGTTTCCTTTCAGAGGTTTTAAGGTGTGTTAAGTCATAAAAATGTGATATTGGACATTAGTTTCTTTCCATGCATGATCTAGGTTTTCTTAATGGGTTAAGTAGTTAGGGTTTTAATAGCCATTAAAAGATCATAAAGTTGGAAACTTTATGCTTAAGGACATCTTTTTGGGGCCATATCTGCATTTCAGACGAAAAACCTTAAGGATTAAGCTCTTAATGGAAAGAATGGGTGGCAGCCGCGTACGCTGCGCGTACCAAAGGGTACGTTGCATGTATGTGGTCAGCCCCTATATTTTGGTTAAATGCATAGTACGCTCCGTATACATGTTGAGTACGTCCAGTATACTCGCTAAGTTGACTCGGTTGACTTTTACTTTGAATTTGGCCAAGAGTTTGACTAAGTTTGACCTAGGTGTATTCTGGGTATTTTGAGATGTAGTATGAGTTTGGGTCACTGTTATTCGTGAAGGTGACCAGTAGAGTCGATTTTCGGAGCAGTGTATTGTTCAGCTCTTTCATCCGATTGTGAGGTGAGTTTTCTCACTGTATCTATGGGTCGAAGGCACCAATGTCGGCCCATTTTTGTGTTATTTAGGATGATAGCTGGTATGTGGTGTATATGTGTTTGTATGTTAGGTTGAAATATACCCCAGGGCGGGACCCACTATCGTATGTTCGGGTTGAAATAGACCCCAAGTCGGGGCCCACTATTATATGCTTGGGTTAAAAGATACCCCACGACGAGGCCCCAGGGCGGGGCCCATATGTGTATATTAGGTTGGAATATACCCCATGGTTAAGCCTAGTTGTATGATTGGTATGTGGTACTTTGGGGAACTCACTAACTTTTGTGCTTACAATTTATGTTTATGGTTTCAGGTACTTTTGGTTCAAAAAGGAAAGGCCCGACGTGATGACACAACATCCTCCCCTCATGATTTCCGCATTTTAAATAATTATACTCTAATATTTTGGATATTGTATTTGCTAATGGTGTTTAAAATAAGTAATGAATGAATTTGTTAGTCTTTCAATGAAAAATTTTATCACTATTCTTGGGCTGTTACTAGTTGGTATCAGAGTCTTGGTTTGAGGGATTCAGGAACACTCTTGGGTGTGTCAGAACTCAAACTGAGGACATGATAATCTTTTAAAAGAAAATGAAATTGAATTTCTAAAAAATATTTTTACTAAGTAAAAAGGGGGTGCGATGTGTGCAATCAGTCGAGCTCAAGTAACTGGTTCCCAAATTACTTATACCCATGTGGTATGATTAGTATGCTTAATATGATAATTGAATGTTATAGTAGGGCTAAGGACATCTTCATGAATCATATGATAGAATTACCTGATTTGTGTGATCCTTATAGCCTAAGGGAATTTGATGATATGCATTACTTGGAACTGATATCCGTTCAGTTAATTGCTAAGTGTATGCTCTCAAAGTTATATACGACTAGGATTATATAGCCCTAGA